CACTGAGCAGCGGCTCGGGCGGCGGCTCGGCTTCGGCCTCGGACGACGACGCGGACGATGCGGACGGGGCGCTGGCGGCCGAGAGTACGCCTTTCCTCGGCTTGCGCGCGGCGCACGACACGCTGCGCTCGGACTCGCCGCCGCTGTGCCCGGCAGCAGACAGCAGGACTTACTACTCCCTGGACAGCCACAGCACGCGGGCCAGCAGCAGACACAGCCGCGGGCCGCCCCCGCGGGGCAAGCAGGACTCGGCGCCCCTCTAGGGGCTCCCGCCCGCCCGTCGCCCCCTATGCGTCGCCCGCCCTACTGTCTTTAAGGAGAACAGAGACCACCGACCGGAGACAGAAAGGAAGAAAAAAAAGAAATAAAAATATTTTTATTTTCTATAAAAGGAAAACAGTATAACAAAATGTTTTATTTTCATTTTAGCAAAAATTGTCTTATAATACTAGCTAACGGCAAAGACGTTTTTATAGGGAAACTATTTATATGTAACATCCTGATTTACAGCTTCGGAAAAAAAAAAAGAAACAAAAAAAAAAAGAGAGATGGGCCAATTTTTTGACTCATTAATAGAAACCTATATTGTGGTGCCTTTTGCTGTACGCTAATCTGGAGCTCCTGGAGAGAAGTCTGGGGTGTCTGGGTTTGAGGGGGGATTGTGGGATCCCGAACGGACAGGGGTGAGAAAGCAGGGAAAGGGAAGCTGTGGGGTTCTGGTGGGTGCGAGGTTGGGGGTCTGGGAGGGGGGTCGGGTGCTGTAAGAGGTTGGCCCTGGGGAAGGGAATGAGGAAAGAAGTAAGTTTGCCCCCAGGCAAGACCTTGAGAAGGAGAGGGCAGAGACGCTGGCCTAGGCTTGGGGCCAGAGTTGGGATTCGGATAACTCACTGGAGGAAACAAAAGCCCAGCGACAGCAACCAGAATGAGGAGGGGGCGTCCCCGCTCCTCACGGCTGCTAAGAGAAGGGGGCAGAGAAAGAAGTCTCCCCCACATCCCCTGCCCCGGGAGGGGGCATCTCTGCCAGAGTCCCAATATAAGCGGCTCCTCCTCCCCATGACGTCCAGGACTCCCCTCCGTCCTCTGCAGCACCTTCGTTTACAGGTCGTCTTTTCTATTTTACGCCTGCATGTCCTTTGCATTGCAGATTCTTTAGATTGGATGCATGGTCACGCTGGGACCGAGAAGAGCCACTGAGCAGTGTTATTTGATTCCCCTTTTAGCAATAAAGTAACATTTCCTTCTCACAGCCCACCTCCCAGCCCCAACCCACCTATAACTTCCACTCCCCCTCTTACTATGACCTGGTAACTCCCAAAACTGAGTCCACAGAATCTCTGCTAATTTGTCAAAAAGGTAATTGTTATTTAAAAAAAAAAAAAAAAAATCCCAAACAGAAACAAATGGGAACCCTGCCCTGAAATATCCAAACACCTGACTGTTGACACTTGAACATTTTTATATTATAAATAAAATCAGAAATAACTCGTTTGATGGTGTGTGCCTTGCCCCCAGGTGAGGAGGGGAGACAGAGGGATGGGGACCTGGGTGAGATGGATGGATGTTGATGTGGAGGGTGGAGAGGGCCGGGGCAGTCTCTGAGAGGAAGTGACCCTTCCTCCAATCTCCGTGGTCCCAGCTCCCAAGACAGGCTCACTGACAGACAACAAACACCCTCCCCTCTCCCCTCTCCCAAGACGGAAGAACATTTACTAGATGTCCCCCTTGGCTGCTGGGGAACCTGGCCAAGGGACTGACGCAAATTACTCTGCTTTGAACTCAGCCTCAGAACCCTAGCCTGGCTCCTGCCCTAGAGCGGCAGGGGAGGGACTGAGGCAACAGTTTCCGACCCCAAGGAGGGGAGGTTTATGGGGTTGGCACTGGGGCAGCTGAGGCAGGATGACCCTTGTGGCCTCAGGCATGTCACAGGCAAAGTCCAGACATGCCAGGTGGCATAATGGGTACCCTCTGCTGCCAGGAGGACCACAGCTGCTGCAGCTGGTAAGCCCAAAGGGTGTTGCTCTTTCCTCAACTTTATTACCCACCCCCCACCCAGAGCCAGGGCCTGTCTAAACCCGCAGCCCCTGATGAAGAGTATGCGATTTTAAGCAGAGGGAGGTCTAGGGTTAAGAAGCTTTTCCCATCATTGACTAATTTTGTAAACCAGTGCCCAGCACCAGGAACAACGAGGCTCCAGTCAAACACAAGGGAGTTTATGTTCTATCCAAAGAGCTCAGGTAGTTGACGTGCGTGTGCGTGTGTGTGTGTGTGTGTGTGTGTGTGTGCGTGTGCGTGTGCGCGCGCGTGTGTGTGTGTGTGTGTGTAAATGCCCCCAGGATGTGTGGTCATTTGGAGACCTACAATTGGAGGGAAGGGAAGCTTAGGGTTGTGGTAGCGTAGGCATCAGTGGGGCCTGGGTTCAAATCCAGCTCTGCCCCTCACTAGCTGTGTGACTTCTCTATGCCGCAGTTTGCTTGGCTGTGAAATGGTGAAATGATGTGAATACCTACCTCAAAGGGTTGCTGTGGAGATTATATACATAAAGCACCCAGTACTGCTTTTGGCACATGATAGAGGTCTATTAAATGGTTAATTTGATGATGGTGATGACCACACCATGTGTCTTGCATTCTCGAATCACACAGAGAGTGACAAAAACTGGATGAGAGGGAGGTGATGGAGAAAGTAAAGAAAGTCATCATGGTCATTGTTGGAGAGCTAGGAGAAAGTAACTGTTAAAAAGAAACAAAGGAAAATAATGAACTAAATGCTACATAAACCCAGACTCCTCTGTTGACTCTGAGTTTACTGTTGGCCAATAACTCCTCTATGTGACCTCTGACCCCTATGTGATCCCAAATTAACTCTGGATGACCTCTTCATGAACGCATTGACTTTTTTGCAACCGTTTAGCGTCCTCATTTGACCCTTCTGAGGGCTCTGAGTGGCTATTTCCTTCAGAACGTTCTGTCAGAAACCCTCTCCTTGACACAAATGAACCTACCGAGCTCTATGTGACCCCAGTTAATTCCAAATGACCTCTGGGTGAACTCACTGACCTTTACATGAACCCATTTGGTGTTTTCATTATCTGCTCTGGCTTCTCAGACAGCTGCTGATAGTCTAAGGCCAAAACTTAAAGTGGTTCCTTGGCTCTTTCCTCATCAAATCATCTACCCATTCATTTCACATGTATGAGGTTGGGACCTGGGAGCAGGTTTGGCTAGAGAGGCCCCTTCTTCTCCACTCTGCTTCTCAGATGTTGGCCTAGGGAACCTGTAGTATGCCTTTCAGGAACAGCTGTAGCCCTATTAAAGTACTTCCCTCCTAACACCCTGACACCAGGAGCAGCTTCCTGAGCCAGAATCATCTTTTCCTCTCCCCCAATTTCTTCTTTTCTCTGCCAGATCATTTATGACTTCTCCTTCCCCAGCCCCTTAGCCAGAGTCCCAAGTGGTAATGGTGGTGACCTATCCCCCCACCCCACTAGACTGTGAGCCCCATGTGGGCAGGGACCTGGCCAATCTTTTTCTCACCACAGTATCCCCAGCACCTACAGTACATGGCACAGGGTTGACCCTCAGTGAATGAGAATATGAAAGCTTAAGAGACACTGTCCTCAGGGGTCAGCCCCCCAGGAGTCCCTGAACCCACTGCCATCTCCCAGGACCACTAGGTGACACAAATCAGGTATTACATGTCACCTGTGGTCCTCAGGCACGTGGGTTTAGACAGTCCTAGAGAACGGCCCGTTAAGGGCAGAGGTTGTGAGGTGAACAAGATGACCCATTAGAATGCAGGAAGAAAACTTTAGTTTAGATTTATTTCCATCGCATCCTTTTTAAATCTCTATTTTTGTGTATTTTTATAACGTACATAGTATTTTAGTACAGTAGTACATGTATATAATTTACAAATAAATAAGTATACATATTATGAATATGAGCTAAAATTTTTCTTTACTGATGGGAGGCACCACTAGTGCTCGGGGAAGCACATCTGTCTGCAGCTGCTGGAGCTTGCTCCTCTGCTCTCACTCACCACCCTCATGAAAGGGAGGGTGGGATACTGACCCCAAAATGTGAAGGACCTTTGAGACAGCATGGAGAAAGTACCCAGAGCTCTTTTATGTTGCCATATTTGCTTTTTCAGTTCCATTTAAATGAACATTTACTTCCCCTGAGCAAAACAAAGGAGCCAGATGGTTTGAATATAAAACACACTTCAGCTGATCCAAAGTCATCTGGACTTAAATCACTACCTCTCTCCGTGGACTTGCACATCCCTCGCATCAAATCTGAGTGGGTTTGTAAATGTTGGACACTTAGTTGCAAGGTTGACTTATTTTATTAACTAAATACGTTAACACTGAGATCAAATTGCTGGAAAGACTACAATAATCTCTATTTTAAAAATAGAAACAATTTGCTGGTCATAGTTGTATTGAGGGAGCCATCACCCCCCACCGGCTTAGCAAAGAAATGCAGGGTTTAAAGGATGCTAACATGGTGATCGTAGCATGGCAAATTTCTCTATTCTTCCCAAACATGTCCTTAACTAGCATTTCCAATTCACTAGAAGAGTGAAAGAAATATCAACCTAAAAATAGTGAGCAAATTGTCATTCCACCTTTTCTCAAGACCAAGAACTCATGGCTTCCATAATCTTTCCCCTCCAGGCATCTTTGGGTTTGTTGACAAGTGGCTTTGCAAGGCAGAGTGTGTCTTTTATTCCCATTAGCCCCCTCCTCATCAAGCTAGGCAGTAGGTCTGTACAAGATGCCACCTCTGGAGCTCAGAGACCTGGCAGCACCAACATAAAGACCAAAATATAAACAGGGCCATGGTCCCATCCCATTCACTCCCCAGGACCCCCATGGGACAGATGGGGCGGCACACACACTCTATTTATTCCAAAAGCATTGAAAGCAGTGTAAGTCACAGGTCAGCCGAAAGAAAGAAAAACAGGTTGTAGGGATGTCCCGACATCGCCACCTTCCCTTCCAGAGTGTCAGGGCCACTGGGCGGCCAGATGCCAGCCTGCTTGCTAACGGGTAGAGCTTGGAAATCGGCTTTTCCTTCATCTTATTTCATCCTCTTTAACTGATGTCAGTTCTAAAACCATCTTTAAAGGGGCTCCTTATATATATAATTCTTATATATGTACATTTATGTCCGTATAAAAAGAAAGCGATAGTGGCCTCAATGGATGGAAGGGGAGGTGTATACACACATGGGTTGAAACTAACTGGCACTGAGAGTGGTTGGGCCCAGGTCCTGATTATTGCGAAGTGAGTCAGGAGAACTGGGCATGGTTCCAGAAGTTGCGAAGAGGAGGAGGAGACAATGGTGCTGGTGGTCTGCAGACCTGCTGCTGATCATCTCAGAGGAAGGAGGCAGAGAAAGGGTGGCTGTCCAAACCAGGACCTGGGGCCAAAAGCTGCCCTCAGAAACAAAGGAGATGAGGGTAGGAACTTGATGAGAAGAGAAGGGCCTAGGAAGAAAACAGGCCTTCCAGCTTTTCCAGTGAGATGGTGTCTAGAGCATGCACACAACTGGCCTACAAAACGAGGCTCCGTGGTAGAGAGGGAAGCAAGGGCTGGAAAAAGAGTCTGAGGCCCAAAGATGCTCCAGCACAGAAGAGCATCGCCATGAATGGCATCTCCAACTTCTTGGCCCACGGGGCTCTCCACGCCCCTCTGGCTGCCTGCCAACTGCCTGGAGCTTGATCTGAGTGACTTTTGACTGGAATTGTGCTCACTGACCCCTATGGAGGCTTTTGTCTGCCTCCGGGGCCTACTCATCCATGCCAGCTAAGTGTCAGGCCCAGTGGCATCCTTCATGGCTTTGCTGCCAGTCACAGGTCCGTGTCCCTGGCTGAGGGCGGGACTAGAGTGTGTTTTCCGGAGAGAAGGGTCATCCCCTTCCAGGGATGACAGCCGGGCCTCAATTCGCTCCAAGTCATCTGAGCCCACTTTGATTTTCACGGCCAGGAGGTGGATGTAGGTCTCATAACGGCTTTTCTGAAGAAGCAGAGAAAGGCCATAAACAAAGTCAAAAGACAGCAAAATGGGAAAAAATATTTGCACACTTACATGACAAAAAGACTAATTTCCTTAATATGTAGAAAGCTCTCCCAAATCAATAAGAAGGAGATAAACAACCCAATGAAAATTAAGCAAAGGATATTCACAGGAATTTCATAATTTTAAAATTGCAAATTAAAATAGTAATGAGACACCATTTTTAAACCTACCAGGTTAAACCAAAACCAAACCAAACCCATTGCCATCAAGTCGATTCTGACTCACAGTGACCCTATAGGACAGAAGTAGAACTGCCCCATAGGATTTCCAAGGCTGTAATCTTTATGGAGCAGCTGGTGGGTTCAAACTACCAACCTTTTGGTTAGCAGCCAAGTGCTTTAACCACTGCACCACTAGGGCTTCTTAGTGAAGGTTAAGACATTTGACAATGCCAGTGTTGACAAGGGCATGGGGAAACAGGTACATTCATAAACTATTCAAGGGGTTGAAAATCAGTACAAACATCTTGAAGGGAGATTTGGCAGTATATGAGGTGCTTGACTCTGAACTTCAGGCCCTCACCACAGTCCAGGGAGGCTGGGGTCCTGGAAGAGCCAGGGACTAAGGGTCCGGGTAGCCTGTACCCATCCAGCTCTGCCACCTGAGCAAGACTTCACCACGAAGCCTCAGCCCCCCTCCTCATCAAGCTGGGCAGGGAGGCAGGAGTGAGAAAGGCCAGGGAGCTGGAACTGCAATCTACTGCCTGGTTAGGATCATGGCTCCTGCACTTCTTAACTGTGTCACCTCAGGCAACTAACCTGACATCTCTGAGCCTCAGTTTCCCCACCTGTAAAATGGGGATAGTAACAGAACCCATTTCACAGGGTTAATATGAGGATCAAATCAGTCACTACAAGGGACATGAAGAGAACCACACCTCACATGTAGCAAGAGATGGGTCCACCATAGCTTTTGCCATCACTATTTTGACATTGCAGGGAGAGTGGATCTAAGACTTCCAAAAACTATGAAGCCTTATGTTTCTCAAAAAGTCAGGATCTATCCTGGGAGCCTTCCTCTCCCTCCCACCTGCCTTCAATAGAAAATCAATGTGGGACTCTAGACACAGAGATTAGTGACCTTCTGTCTTGTCTGCTCTGGGGGCTTCCTGGCTCAGTCTCAGACTCTCTGTCTGTCTGTCCACCCACTTCTGAAGCTCACTCCAAAGGAACTGGAGAAGGCAGAAACCCAGGGCGCAGAAAGGCTCACAGCACCGGTTCCACCCTCAATCTCAAGCTGGGCTGAGCAGGACCAAGGGGCAGCTCTGCCCTCCATCTGAGGTTCCTGGCCCCTCTTACTCCCTGCCAGGCAACTCTAAATACTGTCCTTGCTTGCTGCGGTTCCCTGCTCCAGCTCACAGCAGCCTCCTCCATCCCAGCGGAGGGCCCTAGAGCTCTGACCCTGAGGGTCCCACACTCAGCCCTGGCTCAATCCTCCCCACCTAGTTGGATCTGGCCAGAGGTGTTGCATCGGCCACGGTGAGGCCGGTTCTGCCATCTGGGAAGCCTATTATTCCAGGCCAGCAAGTGACTGGGCCTCATTGCACAGCAGAGGTGACAGACAGGCCCAGAGCCTGATAGATTCAAGCCTCTTCTGGCTGAGGCCTCCTGATCCTCCCACTTCCCCAGGCGATATCTTAAGATCCATTTGGGTCTTCCCAAACAATGTTAGTGACAAAAAGTGGAAGTAAAATTCCATGCCATATAGCTCATCATGGGCCTAAGTTTTCTCTTGAAAATAAAAACAAAAACCATACACTGCCTTCTCAGACAATTCCACTGGAGTCTGAACGGGCAGGGGGAAAGGGAAACAGCAGCAGGCCAGAGGAATTCCAGGTGTGACTTATTAATCAGTGGGTGAGTGGTTCCTGCCTTCCTCCCTCAGCCCAGCTCCCCATCCTTCACCCAGTGAGGGCAATTCTTTGTCAGCTCCATTTGCAGGTCTTCATGAGACAGAATCAGGGTAGTGAACAGAGAGAGACAAGATGCAAAGAAGTGAGAGCTTAGACAGAGATTACGTTGCTCAGCATGATAAACCTCAGGATGAAAATGAGACAAAAGGGAGGAAAGTCTGGTGGACAGGCCTTGAGAGTTTTGCGGTTTGGTTATTAAACGTTCTGGACAAGCTAGGCATGTGAGGGAAGTTGTGGGAGAGGAAGGGCTGGGGAGGAGCGTAGCAGGGGGTTCTGTGGAGCCCCTCTGGTGCCCTTTGAGAGACATGGTGAGAGTGGATTGGTTACATTTGGCAGCTGGACTGTGCTGCTCTGTACAGAGACCACCTGGTTCATAATTGGATACACATCCCTCAGAGGAGCCCCCAAAGTGGGGGATCCTTAAATGGACCCTGGCTGTGAAATGTTGAACATGATGTTGGTGATGGGAGGTGGAGGGCAGGAGCTAACTACCTCCTCTTGCCCCAGCTCTGCCTTTTGGAAGCCTATTCCATTCGACAGCCCACCTCAAACATGAGATAGTGCTCCTTCAGCCGGTACTCCTCCGCCTCCTTGGACTTGACGCCCCGCTCGACTGGGTGACACCTATGCTCAGCCAGCTCTGCAGTCACCTGCCTCAACTTTTTCTCATGAGACCGCAGCTGCTCCTCCTGCAAAGACAAGCCCTGGACTGTGAGGCGACTCTCAGGACGTCATAGGGGTGGGTCTCATCCTGTTCTGCCAGGGAAACGGGGTCACTAAACCTGCTTCACCAAAGAGAAATTGAGGCCTGGCCGGGGTCATCAAATAGGTGGGGGTAAAGCCAGGCTCTGGACTTGAGGGAATGCTCTTCCCACCTGACTCTTTCCCCCCAGATCTCATCACATCAACTCTCCCAGGTGCTCCCCAGCAGGCTAAGGAGAGGAACAGCCCTCACACTTGTATGTGTATATGTACACTCCCTGACACCATACACTGTGGCAGACACACAGTCATCCAGCCCACACCTGGCTCATATGAACTCTCACCTGCACATACAAATTCACTGGACCAAGGGCCAGCTTGGCCTCAGCTCTCCCTAGCCCCATATGACACACATATTCTTTCACATCCATGCCCAGACAGACACGATGCCCACAGACCCACAACCACATCCCCAGGGATACACTGGCAGACAAGCACACACACCACCCCCCACAGCACAGCCAGGCCTCTATGCATTGTGTGGGCCTCAATCTTCCCGTCTGACAATGGGAGTGAAAGTGAAGGAGAATATCTGTCCCTTCTCCTGTGTTCCTTAACCCAGGACCAGGCACCCTATAAAAGGAACTGAGGTGAGGATATTGAATGGGGGCCTGGGACAGGGGAGGCCACCTGGGGAGGTGTGGTCATGGTCCTAGGAACTTGTACCTGGCAGAGGCGAGTGGTGCAGGAGGGTAGCAGGGGCCGACAGAATTTCTTCATGGAGCTGACAGCAGCTGGGAAGGCGGGGGCCGAAAAGATGGCAGCCACCAGGTTGATCCTAAGGATCCAGGACAGCATTTCTTCCTTGCTTCTGGGGACAGGAGGGGAGAGAAGAGGGCACCAGCTTTTCACAATAAGGTCCCCTATCCCCCACTCAGCACCCAGTACCCAGCATTAGGCCTGACACAGAGGTACTAACAACACCTTTTTATAGGTGGGGAAAGAATTGAGGTCGGTAGGTGGGTGGCTGGACGGGCCTGGTTAGAACTGTATAAGGAGCTCCCATTCTGTCCCAGCTCCCAGGCGGGACCTGGATTTTCATGTGAAAATAAAACTGCCCATGTCCAAAGCTAATGGCCCTGGAGCTAATGGCCCTGGAGCTAACGGCCCTGGAGCTAACAGCTCTGGCTAATGGGTCCTTGAGCTAATGGGTTGAGGAGTTAATAGGTCCTGGAGTTAATGGTCCTGAGTCTAACAGCCCTACTGATAATGAGTCCTGGAGCTAACAGCCCAGGAGCTTATGGGGCCTGGAACTAACCAGACCAGCAATTAGCAGGGCCTGGAGCTAATAGGCCCTGGAACTAATGGCACTGGAGCTAACAGCCCTGAAGGTAACAGCCCTGGAGCTAACAGGGCCTGGAGCTAATGGGCCCTGGAGCTAACAGCCCTGGAGCTTATGGGGCCTGGAGCTAAGGATTCTGGAGCTGATGGTCCCCAGAGCTAACGGGCCCCAGAGGCAAGAGGCCCTGGAACCGTGGTCCCAGGCAATCATTAGAGGCAGCTGGGCAACTGGTCATCCACTCCACAGCCCACTGGGAGCTTCCCTCCTGTTCCTGCCTCCACTACCACCTCCACTACCACGCCCAGCACTTACACTCTGATTCTGATACCTCACCTGCTAGTCTCCCGCCTTTTAAGCACATCCAAGACATGAAACCTCATCTCAAGTCACAGAAGCAGGGAGCTCAAGGGAGTAGAACGAATGTTTTACAGGTAAACTGTAGGTTGAGTCTTTCCTGCCCATTCCTCAAATTTAAAGTGAAGGATGATTCATAAAGAGTCCGCATGCCTTGTCCTTTAGGGATTAGGAATTATCTGGAGGGCCTATTAAAACATAATTGCTAAAGGAAAATGTAAGCAATCGCCACCACAGCCTCCACCAGCACGAGCTGTGCCGGACCTGAGAGGAGATCACCGGCCCCGCTGCCCAGCCTCTCCTCCTCCCTGTCGCCGGCTGCCAACCTCCTCAGGACTTGTTCCAACAATCTGCTAAAACATGGTGGATTACTGTGAAGTTCTAGGCATGCAGAGACATGCCTCATCCGAGGATATTAAAAAGGTATATTGTAAATTGGCACCGAAGTGGCATCCTGATAAAAATCCTGAGAATTAAGGAAGAAGCAGAGAGAGAGTTCAAACAAGTAGCTGAGGCATATGAGGTGTTACCAGATGCTAAAAAATGGGACATCTACAACAAATATGGAGCCCTGGTGGCGTAGTGGTTAAGAGCTTGGCTGCTAACCAAAAGGTCGGCAGTTTGAATCCATGAGTTGCTCCTTGGATATTCTATGGGACAGTCCTACTCCATCCTATAGGATCGCTATGAGTAGGAATCGACTCGACGGCAATGGCTTTTTTTTTTTTTTATGACAAATATGGCAAAGAAGGATTAAATGGTGGAGGTGGAGGTGGAAGTCATTCTTATAGTCCGTTTGAGTTTGGCTTCACATTCCATAATCCAGATGAATTTTTTGACAGAAGAGACCCATTTTCATTTGACTTCTTTGAAGATCCATTCGAGGACTTTTTTGGGAATTGCAGGGGCCCCAGTGGAAGCCAAAGCCAAGGCGTAGGATCTTTTTCTCTGCCTTCAGTGGGTTTCCATCTTTTGGAGGTGAATTTTCTTCTTTTGATACAGGATTTACTTCATTTGGTTCACTTCAGTCTCTTCCATGTCATTTGGTGGTAGTGGGATGGGCAACTTCAAATCTATATCAACTTCTACTAAAATAGTTAATAGCAGAAAAATCACTACAAAGATAATTGTTGAGAATGGTCAAGAAAGAGTAGAAGTTGAAGAAGATGGCCAGTTAAAGTCCTTAACAATAAATGGTAAGGAGCAGCTGCTATGCTTGGATAACAAGTAATTCAATGCACACATTTAACAGAAATGTTAAACTATTACAAGCACCATTTGAGGATTTAACAGGAACATTTTTTTGAAGATCTCAAGTAAACTCTACTTTCAGTATAACTGTACCTAATCTGAAGTACTTATAAACAGCTCATGGGAGCATTTATTTGTCATAGACTTTTATTGTTGGACCACATTAATAGGATCCTTTTTTTTAATCTTTAAAATTTTGTAAATGTTATGTATGCACTTTGCTTTTTTATTAAACTTAATCCAAAGTAAAACGTGATTCTTTAGCAGAGCTAGGAGAAAACTGTACACTAACACCAGCATGGATCTTGCTTTTTCCATTTTGTTGGAAATGTGAGCCAAGCAGTTTCAGTCTGCTGTGAAATTAACATTGCCAGGATGAGTCTTCTACAAAAATAATTTCAGTTTTTGGGGTTTTTTTTTTCTCAGTATTGAGTAGTGGAAGATATTAATACATTAATGGTAATATATTTCTGGTTTAATATAAATTAAGGATGTTTTCTAGTTGTGCGTGAATGCTGGCAACTAAGCAAGTTTTGAAAATTGTTTAAATATGTAATGTTAAGCTTAGGTTTAAAAGTAAACTGGGTGTTAGCCATTTGCTTTAAAAAAAAAAAGAAAGAAATGTTAATATGTTTGGTGCATTCTTTCAAAAAACACACACACACACACACACAATTGCTGGGCCCCATCCCCAGAGTCTCTGAATCAGTAGGTTGAAGGTGAGCCAAGGAGCCCCGGTGGTGCAGTGGTTAAGCGCTCAGCTGCTAACTAAAATATTGGCAGTTCGAATCCAGCAGCCGCTCTGTGGAAAAAAGATGTGGCAGTCTGCTTCCGTAAAGATTACAGCCTTGGAAATGCTACGGGGCAGTTCTACTATGAGAAGGCATCGGGTTTGGTTGATTTTTTTTTTTTTTTAAGGTGAGGTAAACCTAAACCCCTTGCCATGGAGTCAATTCCGACTCATAGCGACCCTATACGATGAAGTAGAATTGCCCCAATAGGGTTTCCAAGGAGCAGCTGGTGGATTCAAACTGCCGACCTTTTGGTTAGCAGCTGAGCTCTTAACCACTCTGCCACCAAGGCTCCTAAGGTGGGCCAGGGAAATTGAAATTCTAACAAGTTCCAGGTGATGCTCAGGGGACCACACTTCAAGAACCACTGCTTTAGGGGACCCCAGCTATTGGTTTGTGTCAAGTGGATACATTTGTACTTGTGAGTGATAAGCAAGCGAAGCTGAGAGTGTTCACTCTGAGACAGATGAGGAGGGGGTGCAGGCCCTGAGCCAAGGATGGGGGCAAAATGGTTCCAGCTACTACTTACGGTGCCTGGAAGAGAAAGACCCTCCAGTCGGCTGTCTTCAGCTTGAGCACGTTGGACTTCTTGCTGTAGTCAGAGGCCCTGGTGGCCAGAGCATGATGCACACGGATGGCGTTCTTCAAGTCGCCCTCTGACAGGGCCTTGTCAGGCCTGTACTCATCCTGGATTGGGGTGGCGGGGGGCGGGGGGCGGGGAGGCAAGCTTCTATCATCGCTAACCATACTTCCTCCACCATCACCAACCCTTTTTCCCTATCCCTCTCTCCATCCCTATATCTCCCTCCTTTTTGCAGTTCCTGCTGCTATGAAGCCACCCCCACCCCAACACAAATCACTTCAGGCACTCCCCCTGTCGCATTTGACCCAGAGGCCTTATGGTGGGTATTTCAAAGACCCCTCCCTGAAACCACCAAAGCCCTGAGTAAGCCTGAGTCAGGCTTCTGATGGGAAAAGGACACAGCATCTGCCCAAGCCTCAGGTCCTCCAGGACCCCGAGTACCACAAGGCAGGGGCTAGATGGAAGCTTGAACTTGCCCAACCTGGGCAGGGATGCTGGGACAGCCTCTCACCTTCTGCAGGTACAGGATGGTCCCTTTGAGCACCGCGTAGAATTTCTTCCAGCCACGCCTCCCTCGGGGTGCTGGAGAGGGGAGCACTGGTAGTATAGCCTCAACCACCCACTCCAATATCTTCTACCCTGCTTCCGCTTACATGTACACCTGTGTGTGCATCCCCAGAGGCATGGCCAAGGGGGGTGAACCACTATCTGGACTAGCATCCCTCCCTACGCCCCTCTCCCCGACCCCGGTCTGACACCTACTCCTCTTGCCATCCATGTCAGCGTGAGTCTTCCGGGTCAGCACACCGTGCTTGTAGGTAGTGGCACTGAGAGCCTGCGGGACATCCAGAAAGGGGTTGCCACCATCCAGGATCCTTGTCACCTTCTTTGTGCCTGTCCCAAACTTGTCATCCACCAGCTCAGACAGTGATTTCCTCAGCTCGTCCTCATCACTAGGGAAGTACTAGGCCTGAGCACCACCTCTAGGGAGGCCTCAGCCCCACATCAACATGCCCTCTCCCCACCAACCACCCCTCTGAGAGCCAGAGTCAGAGCTGAAGGGCAGCCATGAGAGGCTGAGATGAGAAACTTTTAATTCCAGATCACAGATCCAGATCTTTGACCCCTCGCCTTAGTCTTCAGTTCTGACCCCTGACCTCTGGTTTTTGGTCTTTGGCCTCCCAGCTCCAATCCTCAACCCTGAGCACAGTTTGAGACCTTATTATCTCCCGTCCTCCTTCCCACTCTTCTTTCTCCTCTCTCCATTCCTGCCCTGAGAGCTCCAGCCCCAGGAAGCAGTAATCCATAGCCAGTCTGAAGCTGCTGTCCAAAGTCCACAGGTATGGGGGAGAGGGTGGGCCAGCAGGTAAGGCCCTTAAAGTCTGGGTCCACCATGGGAGCCCTGGCAGGCAAGTGTCAGCCCTTACCAGTGGGGTTGGGGTTCCAACAATCCCTGCCTGGGACCTCTACTTGGACCTGAAGACCCAGGCTGCCCTGTAGAGCACAGCAGGAAGGGGTGGCCACTTCGCCCAGGAGCCTCTCACAGTATCCTCAACCAGCACAGTGACCACACTTCCCTCCAGATGGTTGTAAACCTCCAGGTCACCACCCTAAGCATGGTCATATCCTAAGGGTTATAGGGGGTCCATGCCTCCCGCTTGCTAACCTCCCAGAGGAGAAAGATTTGTCATCATTGGGAATTGTGGTAGAATCTCCAGTACCAAAAACCAGCTGTGGATATCATGAAGCTAAAGTCACAGTTCAGTCTAACCCATTGCAGTGTAAACACTGCACAATTTTTATCAAGACAGAAAAGAAGCCCAAAGAAGAGCTCAACGCCAGGTGCAGGCCAGCTGGACGGGGTCACCAGGGCCCCAGATTGGAAGAAATCAGCACTATGGAGAGTGGCAGGAGTAGCTTCCCTGCCCCCCAGCCACTCCCCGTCCCAATGATTCGGTCTCCCCACACCTATGCCCATGGGCACTACTCACATGGCCCATTCCAGCTTTTCATTCTTGATGGAGTTGTAAAGGGTCTAGGAATGGGAAAAAGACAGAGAGAGGAGTCCAGGTGAAGAGTCAAAGAAATCCCCACCTACCCCAGCAATGTGGATGCAGTGAGGCAGTGCCTCTCAGCCAGTGGGACAAAGTGGGTGCTTGATGCATATTTGTTTGTTAAATGGATAAATGAATGGGTGGGTGGATGTGTGGATGTGTGGTATTTAATTATGAGATCATTTAATGTCTGTCTCCCCTAGGAAACTGTAAGCTTCACAAGATCAGGAGTGATCTATCTTGTTCATCACTGAGTCTCTAGTGCATAACCCAGTGCTCAGCATACAGTAAGTGCTCAACAGTGGGCATGGATGGATGGATGGATGGATGGATGGATGGATGGATGGATGGAAGGATGAGAGGATAGGTGAGTGGATGGATGAATGGAGGGAGTGAACAGTAGGGGATGAGTGGTTAGGTGGGGAAATAGATGGGTGGACAGAGAAGTAATGAGGAATGGGTGTGTGTATGGAGGGTGTATGAGGAAGAGTTTGGGTTGTGTGGGTGGGTGGATAAATGGGTGGATGACTGGATTGGTAGATGGAGGTGGATGGGTTGGTGGGTAGGTAGATGGGTGGGTGGGTATATGAATGTATGTGTGAGTATATGGGTGGGAGTATGGGGGAATGTTTGCGATATATGGAAGTGTAGGTGTGAGTGATGGGTGAGTGGATGAATGTATGGGTGTATGGGTAGGTGAATGATTGAATGGATAATTGAGTGGATGGGTACGTGAATGAGGGGATGGGCAATAGATGTGTGGGTGGAAAAGTGGGTAGATGAATGAATTAGTAGATGGAGAGAGGTGAATAGGTGGTGGTGGGACTGGGATTGTTTGATTTCACTTAGAAATATATTCTTAACAAGTGCTTCTTAATGGTGAAGGAGACAATTATCATGAGTGATAGAGATAATGTTCTCTTTTTTGACTTCCAGACTCACTATCCAACTGCCCACCTGGTATCACCAGGCCCTTCAAACTCACTATCTAAAACTGAATTCATCATCTATCTCCCAAAAACTTGCCCCTCTTCCTCCAACACAGAGAACTGACCAGCTTTAGAGGCCAGAGTTCCACCCTGGGCTTCAGCCTCAAAAGGAAACTGGATTCCCTTAATTCCTGTTGATGTTAGAGGATAACTGGTCTTTTCCCTGGATGGTTATGGTGAAGGTGATAATAGTGATGGCAAAGGTGATGGAGATGCTGATGGTGGTGTTGGGCATAAAGGTGATGGTGGTGCTTGGGTGCCAGCTGTGACAACTGGTGGCAGTGTTGGTGACTACCATGACAGCAATAATGGCAAAGGAGCACTAAAAGCAACTCTCACAAATCCTACCCCTCTGCCTAACTCAGGGAACATGTAATAGTCAAATGTTGAGCTGCACAGTCTCTCTTTAACTATGTCCCAAAGTCATGGCAGCCCTCAACCAGTTTTAAGAGTCTGGAATGTCAGGATTTAGTGGGGCAGAGACCTTTCTCCTCCCTACCCACCTAGGGCACAGATAACACCTCCTAACAGGTAATACCTTCAGCAGGTCTTTGGCAAAGTCTTGGCCATCATTCAGACGGTCCAAGTTGGCGATGAATTGCTGGCAGGACATCTTCTTGCCAATATTCTGTAATGGAGAAAGGGTTCTTCCTGAGAGTAGGGATGGAGACTGGGGTGGCCCCCGCACCCTGCCCTGCCCAGAGGGAATGAGGCAGCAACAGTGATGAAAACAAAACTGCCTAGATCTCCCTCTGTCTCCAAGAGTTCACAAAGCATTTTCACATTCAAGATTCTGTTTGGTCCTCAACATCGTGATAGGTTGAGATTCCTCTCAAACCCAGATGAAGGAGTCAGGTTTGGATAAAGTACTGTAATAGTTGACATCTGCTAGGTGCTTACTATGTTCTAGGTATTGTCCTTCACATGCATTATCTTATTTCCTTCTCACAGCAAGGAGAAGGTGAGGTGGTGTCATTATTATCTCCATTGGACATGTAAGGAAACTGAGGTGCAAGAAGGTGAAGTAATGTGCCCACGATCATACAGCAAGGAAGTAGAAGGGCTGAGTGTGTTTGACACCAAAGCCCGTGCTCTCACCCGCTACTCCATGGGTAACTCTCCCAAGGTCACACAGCACCAGGACTTGAACCCAGGCCTCTTGACTCCTGAGCAGAAGTTCTGTGTATTCCGCCACAACTGTCTCACCCTCTCACCTACACAGAGGGGCAGCAAGATCTCTAAAAGGTAGGTGAAGTGAGGGGGAGTTTGGTCGTATGAGAATCAAAAATCAATTTCCAGCAACACACATGGGTACCCCATGCTGAGCTGAACTGAGACTAAGGGAATCCAAGTGATGATTTCACTCCAGAAGAGACAAACACACAAAGAGCTGGGAATGACTGCACCCCCAAGTTCTGGCTTCTTTTTTTTAACCACTGAGTAGTAGAAAGGCTCTGGACATCCAAACCTGAGACCTGATGTTCATTTTAGACCTTTCTGCGAATTATGCACATTTGATGAAATACTGAGTGGCACCTTATCTTTGTGAGGATGAAGACCCTTGAACGCCAGATACTTATTGGTGTAGGATGTTCCGAATTTGAGTTTGCTATAAGGCAGTGCTTACCAAGATTTACCTACCATTACATGGAAAATAGGTATTCCCCGCAAAAAGGAGATTCATAATCAAGTAAGTTTAGCTACCCTTTTCAAAGTCTGTAAAATGCTTATGTGTGTTGGAAGTCTCCAAGGAGAGGATTCAGGATACAATTCTCCAAATTTATTGACCTTGGCACCATTTTAGGAAAGATAATGTATTAGCATCATGTAGGATATTCACAAACCGCAGAACATAATTCAGGAAACAATGATATAAGGCTTTGTAAGTAGCTGACAAGCATGAATTTTCTACACCTTTTCCAATGGGTTAAGAAGAAAATATCCTACGTGTGCTTGATATAAGCGTGTGTCATATATTTATATGTATATTTTTACATACACATATATCTGTATATGTGTATAAGTATATAGCCATGTATATGTGCATTTGTAATAGAGGAGTATGAGGGCAACATATATAACATTGCCTTTAACTTACACACATATTGAACATTCCCCAGCCATCAGTCAGTAGGGCAAAATTTTAAAAAATGATAATAATAATAATCAGATAAGATTTCCAACCCTAGTAATGACAGACTATCTTGTTGCAGGTGAACCTTCCCAACAAAAACAATTGTTGGGTAAAATATTAATAAAACATCCATATGACCGCATTGGACAGCTATCAAAGCAGTGAGGACTTCAAGTGTGAACATCTTGCAAAGAAGGGAAGTATGAAGAGGTAGCCCAACAAGGAGCTGCTTTCATCCTTGAAGCATTTGCCAATTTATAAGCAGTGACCAAAAGGCCGAGCAACTGAGAAGTCTTAACAGAACTGGGAAAACAAAAGTTGGAGTTCAGGGTCTACCAGGATAAGGGACCCTGGGAAACACTCCAGGCTTTTAATTAGAACCCCAAAGGGGCTACACCCCAAGAGTAGGAATGGATAGAAAATATCCAGCTTTATACAAAAACCAAATTCCAGCTTTGAATCACTCAATCTATGATTGGAATAAGGTAATATTCTCCTACCTTAACCGCCGACCAGACACAAAAGTAAATCTTCTTTGGAAGAGGATAACATCAACCAGTGTATCAAATTATCTCTATAATTTTTCACACTCAATGTCAGGCATTCATTCAAAATTATCAGGCATACTAGGAACAACCAAGAAAAAAATCAAGCAATAGAAACAGATTCACAAGAGATCCAGATATTAGACTTATGCAAACATAGTCTTTAATAATAACTGTGACCAAGAAATTGGATGACAGGATGGAGAATTTCAGCAGAAAACTGAAAACTACTAAAAAAAAAAAAAAAGAGAGAGAGAGAGAAAATCAAGCAGAAATTATAAAATGAAAAACATAATAACTGAAATTTAAAACTCAATAAATGGACCTAACAACACGTTAGACATAGTAGAAGAAGGATAGTGAACTAGCAGATAGGTCAGAAGACGATATCCGGACTTTAAAAAAAAAAAAAAAGTATGAAAAATACAGAAAAAGCCTAAGAGATATATAGGGCTTAGTAATAAGATCTAGCATATGTGTAATTAGAATCCCAGGTTGAGAGAGAAAATGAAGCAGAAACAATACATAAAGGTACTGGATGATAACTTTCCAAAACTGATAGAGACACCAAGTTACAGGTTCAAGAAGTACTGCAGGAAAAATGCACCAAAAAACAAAACAAAACCATGGTTAAGTAAATCATAGTAAAACTTCTTAATAGCAGAGACAAAAAGAAAAAATGCACCCTCTCCTCGTTTATTGACTATCTCATTATCCAACATTTTGCATTTGACAATAGTAAAAAATCTACTATCCAACTATTTTGCGCATTAACAACATACATCTGGCAGTAGTAATGAACGTCAAGGTATGAGGAGAGAGTAATGCTGGCTATGAAAGTTAAGATTATGTATCAGCTTGGCTGGGCCATGATTCTCAGTGTTTTGGCAGTTATGCAATGATGTAATTTGGCAGTTATGTAATGATGTAGTCGTCCTCCATTTTTAAACACATAATGCTGATTTTCGCATAAGAACCTGATCTTTGGAACCTAACCATGTCAATAACTGAGAAGTGGGTGTAATGAAAACAGCCAGAGAGCAAAAAGACACAATTTGCTTCAAAGAAGCTACAATAAAACTGACTTCCGACCTCTCAGCAGAAACAGTGGAATCCAAAAGATAATGAAATATCTTCAAAGTAGTGAAATCAAGTAATTTCCTACTATAATTCTATACCCAGAAAAAATTTTTTTCAAGAACTTCTACAAATCAATAAGAAAAAGGTAGACAATCCAATAGAAAAATGGGTAAAAAACTTGAACAGGCACTCCATAAAAGAGATTATCCAAATAGCCAACAACAAATGAACAAATGCTGAGTTTTTTAGTCATCAGGAAAATTAAAACTAAAACCTTACACATGCACCAGGATAGCTAAAATGAAAAAGTGAAATAATATTAAGTGTTTGTGAGAATGTGAAGCAACTGGAACTCTCATTCATTATTGGTGGTATTGGTGGGAGTATAAATTGTTACAACTTTGGAAAACTGGCAATATCCACTAAAGCTGAACATAAACACACCTTATGATCCAGCAGTTCCACTATCAGATTTATACCAAGAGAAATGTGTGCATATACTCACCAAATGATATGTACAAGAATGTTCAGAGCAGCATTATTAATAATAGTCTCAAACTGGAAAAAAAATCCAAATTCTACAAATAGTAAAAATGTTGAGAGGCTAAATCAAGCCCACACTGAAGCCTGTCCAATGCTACACTTTTCAGTCAATAACTACCTGCCATTTTTTAAATAATATTTTATTGTGTTTTAGGTGAAAGTTTACAGAGCAAATTAGGTTCCTCTTTAACAATTTTTATACAAATTGTTCCGTGCCATTGGTCACAATTTTTACAATGTGTCAGCATTCTCAGTATTTCCATTCTGTTTGTTCTGTTTCCACTGATCTAGCTTCCCTTCCGCTCCTTGACTTCTCATCTCTGCTTTTGGGAATCTGTTGACCATTTTGTCTCACATAGTTAATTGCTTAAGGTAGCACATTACTCAAAGCGATATTGTTTATTTTATAAACCAATTTATTATTTGGCTGAAAGGTGACCTACAGAAATAGCTTCAATTCCAAGTTCAAAGGGTATCTTAGGGTGAGAGTCTCCAGGGCTCCTCTAGTCCCAATTCTCCCTTGCTTCTGATGGGATAGGACCAATATTTGTATCTTAGGTGGCTGCTCCCAAGTTTTTAAGACCCCAGATGCTACTCACCAAACTAGGATGTAGAACATTATCTTTGTGAACTATGTTATGCCAATTGACTAAATTATCCCCCGAGATTATGGTCCCAAGCCTTTTGACTCAGTAAACCAATCCCACAAGTTGTTTGGATATGTCTAGGAAGCAGTATCTGCCATTCTTAGAGCTAGTTGGCGTTAACTTTTCTGTCACTTTGAACCAAACCTCTCCTGACAGATTAGCCCCCCTCCCATCCTCACTCTCAGCTCATGACCTTGCCTCATGTTTCATTCAGTAAGTAGAAGCCACCAGACAAGAGGCCCCTCATCTTCCCACCACCAGAGCTACTAACCCACTCTCTGCCTCTCTTTGTCATGGGAGGGATGAATTGTCCCCACTCCCATCTAAGGCCATTGTCTGCCTGTGCTCTGTATCTTGCCTCAAGGGAAGTCCCAATCCCCCCTTCTCTCTCCTGCATCATCAGTTTCCCCTTGTCTGCTGGGCTGATCCTATCGGAACACACATGCCCTAGTCAGATTTTAAAACAGTCCCTCCTTGACCCATTCAGCCATTGGCTCATTTCAGTGCTCCACTCAAAGCAAAACATCTCAAAATAATTGTCCATAGCCTCCACTTCCCCACCTCCCATCCTCATTTCCACCCACTTCAACCTGGCATTTGCCCTCTGCGCTCCACCAAAAGTGTTCTTGTAAAGGTCTCCAAGACTTTGACCATCCCACCAACGGCCATTCCAAACCCCAATGGTTACTTTCCTAATGTTATCTTACTTGAACTTGTGGAAGCCAGACACTGACACCTGGCATTTTGTATATTACCTCTCACAATCCTCCCTTTGATGATGTAAGGGAAATCATTATTCCCATCTCACAGATGTGGAACCTGGGACTCAGAGAGGGCCAGTGAATTGCCCAGGGTCACACAAATACCATATGGAGACAAGAGTAGGATCTGAAGTCGAGTCTATCTCAGTTCTTTCTTCCACTCTATATTCCCTGGACTTTCCTGCTAACTCTAGAATCAGACACACTGGCCTGTGATCCCCATGAGTCACTGAAATATCCCCAACTTAATGTGGGGGGCTGTGACCACCCCTGGTTGAGCAATGATGATGGAGCAGTGATAGGGTGGGGCCAGATGGTGTGATGGGGGACACAGAAGGGTCACATGGAAATGGGGGCCAGGCACACAGGGGCATGCACACCACCAGCTACACTTACCACCTGAGGAAGGGCAAGAGAGCCCAAAGAGGGGGTCCCCGGAGCAGAGGAAGGAAGAAGGAGTTATTGAGCCATAAGAAGCAAGCACTGAGTCTGCCAAGGGCCTGGACAAAGCACAGCCCTCACAGCCCAGGATACTCACATCAGGCACTTCACTTGTTTGCCTGCTGGTGGGTAGGGGTGGCAAGAATGCCTCTTGAGGGCAACCCATCCTTTGACCAGTAGGGGCTGCCTGGGGCATGGTCCTGAGTTGGGGCCACATTCGGGCTGTGGCAGGAGGGGTGGGAAGAGCATACGATCTTTTAGCAGTGTCTGGTACAGACACAGCTAGGGGAGCCCATGTTATTCAGCACTTCCTGAACCCCCATGTGCCTCAACTGTTCTCACTGCCTTGCTTGGGGGCAGGGGCACAGGCAGGTCTCAGGTAAAAAAAAAAAAATGAGGGCAGGGCCAAGGTCAGAAGCCAAGTTGCCCAGCTCTCTGGTCTGCTAAAAGAAACATGACCACTGAGCTCTGGGCCTCAGGAAGGGGGCTGGGCAAAGGTTTGGCCCATGGACAGCTCAGGGTGGGTCAGTGAGAGACCATGCCCCCACCCCCACCCCCACTCACATGTCCATGCAGGTCCGTGTTGAGCAGCATCAGGGCACAGGTGAGCGTGTGGATCCCATCTAAATCAGAGACGGTGGGTGGCACCCTCAGTGTGAGGACCCAGCTCATTCCCACCACCAGCCACCCTCCTGTCTCCCAGATAAAGCCAGCCTGGAGGCCTTGGAAACAGAAAGTGGCCAGTCTCCTGCCAAACACACTGCTAGACCCAGAGCCTGGTCATGCTCTCTGCTCACCCCCACTGCAGTGCAGGAATCATTGGCCTTCCCCAGGCTCAGAGCCAACCCCTCCCTCAGAAGGGACCTAACTACCCTGGGCCTGCTTCAGCCCAGACTCCTGCCACCTTGAACCTCAGACCCAGGAATGGCTCTAGGTCCTGGATACACCTGCCCTGCCATGGTCTGTGTCTCCTCCAATAACTGGTCTAGGCCCCAGTTCTTAGGACTCAGATTTATCCACAGGGCAAGTCCTACCCCTAAGAGGGCCCTGAGCCAGACCACCACCCCAGGACCCCCACTATACCAAGAATCACCATTGCAACAGGAGACCAGGGGGAATGAAGGCCCAAAGGACCGAATCTCTAGGATAGAGGAATTTCAGGAATGCCAATGAGTGTGATGCTTGGGAGGGCTCTTGTCCAGCAGGCAGACCCATTCGACATGCCACAGCTTATTCATTCAATGTTTACTGAGCATCTCCTGTATGCCAGAGAGACAGACCACCTGGGCCTGGCAACAGGACAGGGGTGGCAGGTGGAACAGGGGTGGGAGTGGGGGCCAGGTGGGCTGGGTGGGGTAGGGCAGGCAGCCATACCTTCTGAGGTGCTGTCCTCGGGATTGCACTGGCAGTACCGGCGGGAGAAGTGTGTCAGGACCCGCTCGCGCTCCTGCGTCTCCCCCATCAGTGGAAAGGCCTTCAGAAAGACCCTAGAAGGTAATTTGAGGCTGCTGGGGGTCTCCAAGAGCCCCAAGTCAGTCTGGCTCCTCAACAGGGGTAGGTGCTCCTCCACGCACACACCGCAGAGCTGTCCTCTGGGCCCCGGGAGGTCCAGGCCCCCAGGATAGCCACAAGTGCAGAGGCCAGGGAGCCTGTCCAGCTTCAGAGTTTCAACCCTCACACTCCTCCAGGGCGCAAAGCCATATGAGCACCTCAGGGCAGGCCTCAGCTCTTCCTCAGTGCAAATGCCCTCTGCTCGCTCCCTCCTCCACAGCTGGACCCAGACTGTCCATTCCTACCCCCTCAGACCACATTTCCACAGTCGTTCCCTCCCCCATGTGCCACCAGCTGGGCTCCTGGGCCCAACCCTGACCTCCCTTACCCTCCCCCTTCACCCCGAATGTCTTAGTCGTCACCAAGTCCTGATGGTTTGCTCCTCAACCACAAGCTCAATCCCTTCTCCTCCTCTGCCCTCATCATATGCCCCAGGGCACCTACAAGCACCTCCACACAGGTCTACCCCCTGAGCCCCCAGTACACCCTCCCTACAGACACCCGAGTGGTCTTTCATGCAGTCAAGACTTGCCCCCACTTAAAACCCATCACTGGCTCCTCAGAACCCTCAGAATATGTCTAAGCACCTCACGTCATGGCCCTTGCTGACTGCCCCAGCCTCCCCTTCTGTCCCCACCTGCTGCCACCCCCAAACAGTCTTCACACCCTGGACAGGACAGGCACTTTCTCTCCTCAGTGCCTCTGAGCAAGCTGCGCCCCTCCCCCCTCTGAAATTAACAGACAAGGACTTTAAAATAACTATGATTAGTACCTTCAAGGAAATAGAGGGAAAGGTGGAGAAAATGAGTGAAAAGATGGGGGAATTCCAGAGAATTAGAATCTATGAAAAAATAAAACGGAAATTCTAGAAACGATAAAAAAAATCAATAAAGTGGTTTAACAGCATATTAGACACAGAAAACAGCGTAAGCGAACTAAAAGGAAGTCCATAGAAAATATCCCTACTGAAGCAGAGAATACATAAAAGAATATAAGAGACGTGGGATGCACTAAAAAGCTCTAAGTTCTGACCCCTTCACTTAGCTGGCCCTTACTCTCCTGCAGGTGTTGGCTGAGACATCACCTCCTCCAGGAGGCCTAGGGTCCTGGCCCGGTGTCTCTCCAGCTGACCCCTGCCACCAGAGCCCTCTAAACACTGGCTCCATCTGCCTGTTCCACACCCTCCTGCTCCTTGGGGCCTTCACCTTGCCCTTCTGAGGGGAAAGGCAAGTTATCTACTCCCTAGGTTCAAACACTAATAAGACCTGAGATCAAATCCCATTCTTATCATTTCCTCTGCCTGGTAGAGAGGTAAAAATGGGAATGATAACACCTACCTGACAGGTGTGGTGAGGATGAAGTAAGCAAAGTGTGTAAGACCTAGATATAGCAGCTAGCATACAGGACGTGCTTAATACAAGCAAGCCCTTTCCTTCTTTTCCTCTCCTAAAGAGTCGAGCCTACATTTCCACCTCTTCATATCCTCAACACCTACCACATAGTTGGCACTCACTGAGTTGCTGGGCTGCTGCTTTTATGACTCTTTCCTCACGGCCTCACCAGAGGGATCAAAAGATCTGCCAAGTTTTCACAGTAAGTGTATGCTGCAGCTGGCATGAGAATTCAGGTGTGCTGCCTGTACCACTTGAGGCCACTGCCACATCCCAGCCCCACTGACCTGAGTGCTCGGTCCAGAGTCAGGCCTGAAAAGTCGAAGAAACTGAGGTACTCTCCGGCCACCAGCCTGCTGAACTCGTTGCTGTCAGGAGAGCATAGTATCCCGTTAGAAGCAGGGTACAGCCCACAAATGACAGAACAATGGGGGGTACATGGGAGTGGGCACCAGGGCACCCTGGCCCATCCACCCAGGACTGCCCAACCCCTAGGCTGCCTCCCTCAGCTAGTCAGTTGGTCTCTGATAGTTCAGCCTTGGCCTGGAGGGGTCAGGAAGGTATCCTGGAGGAGGTGATGTCTCAGCCAACATCTGCAGGAGAGTAAGGGCCAGCCAAGTGATGGGGGCAGAGGGCAGGGGGCAGGGGGCAGGGGGTTGCCGAGGGTGCCCAGAAGGGGAAATACACATGACTAAGAAGCTTCCAGCAGGGTTAGCGTGATCAGAGCCTGGAGCAGGCGTGGAGACAGCAAGAGATGAGGCCGGGAGCAGGGCCTGAGAGTCAAAGGAAGGCTCTGGACTTGATTTTGAAGGGTTTGAAGCAGGGAGGGAGGTGAGTGAGATGGTCAGATCTGTACTTTGGAACACTCTAACTGTTTAGTGAGACCCACTAGGAGGCTGGGTTAATTGTCTGGGAGAAAGATGGGAAAAATGGGGAGGAGAGAAATTACGAGGCAGAATCCTCAGGAAGTGGAAATGGAATGAGTGTGATGCATGACAGAGAGGGTGGCACCCTGGGGGAGATGCTCAAGCTCAGGACAATGGGTGGGCTGAATGCATGTATGTGAAAGTCATCAGCCCATAGACAGTTAACAGCAACCGAGCAGGAAGGAGGGGTGAGCCCATGTGTGGGAAGGGTGCACAGACAGGACAGAGGGCCTGAGAGAGCCCTGAGGATTGCTTGAGGAGAGCGAGCCAATGAAGGAGACTGAGAAACAGTGGCCAGAGAGGTAGGGCTGTGGTGTCCTGGAGGCCAGCGAAGAAAGCGTTTCAAGAGCACTAGAGTGAAGAATTCTTGCCCAAAAAGAAAAGAAATTTCCACCTTGATCTAATCAAGCCTTGAGATCTCACTCCCATTCACAGAAGACATAGAAGATAGAGCAACATGTTTGGAAGAAAAAAGAAAATCACCATGAAGATACAGCTCTGTCCTCAATGCCTTCACCACATCCCACACCTTGCTCCCCCAGCGCCATGGGGCGGCCCGCCACCCCCCCGCCCCGCCCCGCTTCCTGAGAGCAGTGGCGTCACTTAAGCAGCCCAGAAAGGAAACAGATTTAGGGCAAGGCCAGGAATGAGGACAGCAGCAGGAGGAGGGTCTTTGGGGACTGTTGGGAGCCGCCCCAGCACCAGGCACCCCCGATAGAAGTCACCCACACTGCCTTTAGATTGACACCAGGTTTGCTTGGAGTTGGTGTGGGAGGCAGCACTCACTTCTTGCCCAGCTGCCGGGCCACGTCGCAGCGCTGGAAGCCCTCGAGGTGGTAGAGGCGGCGTGCCAGCCGGCGAGCAGCTTCACTGACCCCCTGGCACCCATTGACCAGTGGGTCTGTGCTACCCGGCTCCAGCCCCTCTGAGCTGCTCAGCTCTGAGTCTGAGTCCGACAGGCCGTCCTTCAGGCTGGGGTCACTGCAGAGGGAAGGAGGGGCAGAGGGCTGGAAGGTCTCCCTGATCTCTGAAAATCCATGCGGGGGCCAGAGCAAGGAAAGAAGCTCCACTGCAGCAGGAGCGAATCAGGTCAGACCTTTAGAAGAGCCTCTCAAGTGAGATCATGAGATGTCACACATGCCCACAACACAGCTGCCTGACCCCCTGTGAGCTGTGAGGACCTGGATGGCAGGACAGAACCTCAGGACCCAGGGGCTGGGGAGTCTGGGTGCAGAGGGATGGATAAGATGGATAAGATGACTCTGGACACTGGGCTGCCCTAGCTTCCCTTGTCTCCTCTGGGTCTCGGTCTCCCCATCTGCTCAGTGGTCCTCCCAGCTCCCAGCCTGGGCCCTGCCTCACCTGGCTGAGTTCAGCAACTTGTCTGTGTCCTCCTCATCATCCTCGTCCCCGCCTGGGCCCTGAGGCCCATCCTTGTGGAAGCCATTGGGCACGGCTGGGAGAGACAGGTGGCTCAGGACGTTCTCAGAGCGGCTGCTGGAGATGGAGCAGCGCAGGCGGCTGCCCAGCTCCCTGTCACCGCCAGCTGCCCCCATGTCCCCCTCAGACCCCATGTCCCCAATGCCCAGCTCAGCCCCTGGCTCCGGGCTATCACGGGCCCGCTGCTGGATGAGGGGTGTGAGGGGGGCCTCAAAGCTGACACAGCTGTCACTCTCGTCCGTGAGGCTCAGCACATCCAGGGAGTCGAGGCTGCTGTACTGGGTGCCCCGCAGCAGTTCCGACTCCACAATCTTCTCAAACGTGGCGCTGAAACCATCTCGCACATCAGGCTCCCCGGGGTCACCCAGCCTGTGAAAAGCAGGCACCCAGTCACCACTCTGCCAGGGTGTCCCCCATTACAGAGGCTGGTCACTGTACCAATCCATGTCTGGAGCTCCTTGTGGGGCGGGGGGCGGGGGGGGAACAGGCATGGGATGTGTCCTGTTTATTTGTGCTCTCAGCCACTACTTACAAGCACTAGGGACCAAATTCTGGGCTGGGTAATGGGGACACAGCAGTGAAAAAGGTAGACATGGTTCCCGCTCCTCAGTGCCCAGCCCAGGCCTGGTCCACCACAGGCATCAAATAAGTATTTGTCTCAATTAACACACGTGAGGCACCTTCCCCTCGCCTGGTGGAGGGGCTGCGCCCTCTGGGCTCCCAGAGCAGTGTGGTTATCTCACTTTTTTTTTTTTAATAGAGACCAAAGTTTGTTAGTGGTTACCGGAGCGGGAGGGAGGGGGAAGAGGGAGGTTATTGTCTGTGGAGTATGGAATTTGGGTTTACAGGATGGAAAATTGCATTGACAGTGCTGTCAATAAGTTGTACACCTGATAGTCATCCACACCAACTTCAAGGAACACCACATTGCCATACTTTTCAGAAAGGGAGTGATAGAAAGGCTTGGTCATTTTGCAAGGCCCACATTACATGGCTGAGAAGTCAACTACTACAAGTTTACCTCCAAACCCGACCCGTTGCCGTTGAGTCAATTCCATCTCATAGTGACCCTATAGGACAGAGTAGAACTGCCCCGTACGGTTTCCAAGGAGCACCTGGGGAATTCGAACTGTGGACCTTTTGGTAGCAGCTGTGGCTCTTAACCACTACACCACCAGGGTTTCTTAGTTTATCTCCAGCTGCCTGAAAATCTTCCTTGCCCTTGATCTGCTTCACCATTTTGGCTGTTGGGGTCTGACAAGTGACTGTAGAAACAGAACAAATGGACTTGAAGCGCCAGACAGAGCTTGGAATCACTGCTTGGTTATCTCTTTGTCACAACTAATGTCACACAGGGTCATAATGTCACTGTCCCCACAGCCTGGGAGGTTCCTAGCTTGGCTGACCACATCTCAGCTCTCAGGTCTTGTCTTAATGTCACCCCCTCAGAGTGACTGAGACCGGCAGGTCCATACCACCTGACCCCCTTCTCATTATTCTCCATCCTCCCCAGCTCTTGTCAGAATGCACAATTCTATTTGTTCATCTGTTTACCATCTGCCCCCCAAATCCCACCCCATCCCACCCTACACACATACAGCACACAGCAGGTGCTCAGTACTTCTTGCTAAATAACTCACTAGCTGAACTAACAGATTCTTGTTGGTACCATGGCCCTACCCACTTGTCCCAAGCTCTTGCAGGACCTGGTACTGACTCCAACGAGGCCTTTGCATGGGCTGTTCCCTCCACCCAGAGTGCTCTTCCTTTGGGCCCCTGTATGGCTAAAGCCCTCCTTCCTCGTCACTTTCTCAACAAGGTCTACCTCGACCACCTTATTTATAACTGTGACCTGCCCCCAAGCACCTGATCGCTTTTTCCTCCTTTGTCTATTCCAAAGCATTCATCCCCTTCCAGCATGCTATGCAATTTACTTATTCATTATTTTTCTTCTTTATTGTCTGTCTCTCCTATTGGATTGTAAGCTCCACGAGAGGTGGAATTTTGGTCTGTTTTGTTCACTGATGTGTCCCCAGCCCATAGAATAGAGCATTACATGGATGAGCTGAGGTATCCTGGAAGGATTATTATCCACAGGGAGACCTACAGGTAAGGCAGGAAAGGAGGGAGAGAGACAAAAAAGACAGATAAGAAGAGAGAGAGAAGAGGAGGGGAGGGAAGGAGAAGGGAAGGGAGAGGAGAGAAGAGAAATAAGAAAGAAACAAAAAAGAGAGAAAAAGGAGAGAGAAGATAGATACAAAGAGCACAAGACAGACAGAAATTAACAAGGATAGGAGCAAGAGAGGCAGAAACATGCAGACAGCAGAGAAAGAGACACAGAAAGAAAGGAGCAGACTGAGCCCGTTTCAGACAAATCAAGACTCATCATTCACAAGGAAGCACATCCCTCTGAGGATTTGGCTGCACCCTGCCCCCCTCCCTGAACCCCTGATACCTAGAAGAGATCCAATCTGTATTTGGAGGGCTGGGAAGTGCCCCTTTCCTGCAAACACCTCCTTGGACCTCTGTGCCTAAGATTCAGTCCCAGTGTGCTTCCTGAAAGAACACACTGGCCTGGGAGGGAAAAGGCCAAAGCCACCTCCCCCTGCACCACCCCCTCATCCCGTCCCTAGCAGGAATTGAGACTGCAGCCTCATGAGGCCCCCTCCGGCCAGGGAGCTGAAGTGGGGGAGAGGGGAGAAGTCCAACCGGGCGGCAGGGTGCCTGGCAGGGGCCTCTATTGACCTGCAGGAAGAGGGGAGGGAAGAGAAAGGTCATTCCCCCTGACTACACACACCCAAAATCTTCCCAGCAAAGGCCTCTCAGCCAGGCCTATGCTGGGTACTGGGGACATCCGAACAAGACAGAGTTCTCCCTTTACGGGCTCTTGTTTCATTGTCAGAGCTGGGAACAGCACTCCTACCCCCACCTCCTCATGCACCTGAGCAGCCTGAGAGGTGTCCCTGAAGGGCATTTGGAAGCCATCAGCCCAATTCCTAAACCTCCATCTGCCCCAATCTTCAGCCATCCCAAATAAATCCACAACCTAAAAACAAACAGTGTGCTCCAAGAAGCCCCAGGCCCCCGCCCACACCACTGCTGGTCAGGTGGCTGCCTTAGGCCCTGTCTGGATGGAAACAGTCTTATGACCACAGCACACCCAGTACACACAGGCACCTGACCCTGTGTACTCACATTCCTACCCACACCTAAGCACATGTATCCATACACACCTGCATACAGACCCAAATGTGCACCTGCAGATGCACAGGCCAGGCACACACAAACACCCCATCCACAACCACACAGACCCATGCACACAAATGCTCACACATCCCTGTGCACACACCAATGCACAGGCTGGGCACACACATGCACGCCCCATGCACACATTCACACTCTTATTGCACACTTACTAGTTCAGGCCAGCACCTACCGCTGTGTATACCAAGACCTCTAACCCTTCCTCTTCTCAGATCCTGGGGTCTTCTGGACACTCACCTGCCCCACCCCCACCTCCCTTGTCCAACTGGCACCCCCAAACCCCAAATCTCTTCACCTCTTGGTGAGGATAATAGAAATGGGGCTGTAACTCCAGAAAATAGGACTTAAGTGAGATTCCTGGTAGAACTTCCTGATGGCAACCTCAGGTGACGGGTAGCTAAGAGGGATTAACCCACGAAGCCTATTTAGGTTTAAGTGTAGAATGTGGGAGATTCCCAGCTCCAGGAGGCAGAGGAATGGACCATATAACCATTCACATAAAAGCATTTTTAAAGGGACGTCAAACTCTAAATACCCAGCCTGGTACCCTACACAGAAACAGCCCATAATGACAACCCCTTTGAAAGTCCTCTTATGGCTCCATCCTCACAAAACACGCAGAAGCTGGGCAAAACAGGGGCATGAAATCCCCAGTTTTTAGGTATGAGAAAATCAAGAAACAGAGAGGCTGAGTGGCTAGGCCTAGGCCAAGTAAGCAATGGAGCAGCCAGATGTGGCAGGGCCCCATCTCAAGACAGCCACTTACCCTAGCCGAGTGTCCTCAGTGTCTGGACAGAGACTACTGGAAGCACTGTCCCCCTCTGCCAGCCCACCAGCCCTCCAGGGCCTGGAATCCACTGAATCTTGCAGAATGTTCAAGTCTGAGCCCAGGGCCAGGCCATTGGTGAGGGAGAGGCCAAGGCTGAGGCCGTGGAGGGCCCTGTCCAGGCCCTTTGTGGGCTCCTCAGTGTCCACCAGGATACTTCTCATCTCATGCTTTGGGCTGTCATGGCTGTTGTGGCTGCTGTTCGGGCCCTCATCAGCTGCCAAGCCATTCTGGACCCTGGGCTCCTCCTCAAAAGATCCGGTGGCTTCAGGATCCAGGCTGGGGTCCCAGATGACAGCACCTTCCCCAGGCAGTGCAGATGGGAGCTTCTCCTCATCCATGGCAACCACGCTTCCACGCCGTCCTGGCTGCTCCTGGGACTCCACTGGACCTGGCAGCAGATGGAGACATAAAGGGGTCAGTCAGACAGGACAGGGGTCTGGGGGTCCTAAAGCCCAGACGGGCTGGCACCAGGGCAGCCTGTCTGGGGGCAGGAGGATAGCCAAGATGATCGCCTCAGGACCCTTCTGGCTGGCGGCTGGGTCTAGGTAGGCACCTGTCCCTGTCTCACCCAGGCCACCCCACTCATCTCTCCCCTGACCCCTAGCCACCCCGTGTGCCTCAGTCCCTGGCTTCCCTGTTACATCTTGTGTGTCTCTGCTGTACCCTTTAGAATTCACCAAAGCCCTCTAAGGAAGATCCAGGTTGGGATGAACTGAGGAAGGGTTCAGCGCCCCACCCCCACCCCACCCCAGGCCCCATTTCCTTTTCCATGGTGAGTGATGGAGACAAAACCCCAGACTGAGAGCAACTAGGCTGCCTCTTTCCCTTTGTGTATTCTCTCACCGTGGCTCCAGATGGCAGGGATGAGTGAATCTTTGTGGTTAAAGGAGGGAACTGGGCTGGGGCTACCTTTAGAGGGGGAAATTTAGAGAAGAGGCAAGGAAGTAAACAGAGCTGCAGTTTTATCAGAGGAGGGACCACCCCAGAGAAGCCAAAGCGAGACCACGGAGGAGGCCACTGGGAGGCCCAGCGTGTGGCGCTGTCCAGGGTGCTGGACGGGTGCGCAGCCACCCGGGAGCATCGCGGAGAGCCGTGGCGCCCAGCGCCCAATGCCCTGGCTGTGCAAGGAGGAGGGGCTTAGGTTCCCCTCCTCCCCTGGGCTCCATCGCAGTTTGCCCAGCCTTGAGGAGGGAATGAAGAAGAAACTGCCATGGGGCACTCTGGGGAGAGCACTGGAAGGGGAGTCAAGCTCTGCTCTGCCCAGCTCATTACATCCTCTTGTAGGTCCAGGTCAGGCTTCCTCACTGCTCCGCCCAGGTCAGCCCCATGCCCCTCTGCCCAGTCTGGGCTTAGTTTGCCTCTGTAAAATGAGGAGACCCATTTTACCTGCCATCTCCACTACGATCTCCATTTAAAATGGAGTGGAACCAGCCAACCTTTCCTAGAAGCTTCCTGTTCAAACAATCCCAGCTAGAGAGGGCAGATGTAATGGGCTGGGGCAGGGGGTGTGGTTCTGGCTTTCCCATCATCTCCTCTCTGCCCCACCAAGTCTAGGCTGCTCCCCACCCTCCTCAGTGTCCTCTGCCAGTGAGGACACAGACCATCTCCTCAAACACCCCCGGAAAGCTGCAGAGAAGTAGGACTCGGGATTTCCTCCAATTCTGGCTGGGCTACTTCCTTCCTCCCTTCTTTGGGTCTCAGCTTCTCCCAGTACCCCCACCTTCGTCTGCCTTTCTCTCAGGAAAAAGAGGGGTTCCTGGAGGTTCACGAGAGTCTGGAGGAGGAGAGGGACTGGCCAGCCTTCCGGGGCCACCTCAGCAGAACCAGCTGCAGCTGCAACAACAGGGATTTAAGTGAGGCCCACCCATACTTCCTATATTCCCCCGGCCATAAAAATCACCTGAGGGGCTATTAAAATGCAGATTACTAGGCTCCACTCCAGACCTCTGAACCAGAATCTACAGGGAGGGGATATGGAATTCTGTTATTCTTATAACGACACAAGTTTGGGAAACACTGAGTTAGGCCACGGGAAGAACTTCCCACTTAGAGAAGATGAGCCTGGAGAGGAAAAGGAGTCTCCTTCTCGGGGGATTTTTGGGTCCTTTCGGGGATTACTTAAAATTCACAGGATTACTCAAGATTCATTAACCTTGGGTTCTAAACATGGAATGGAAGAGGTCAGGACAGGCAGGGATCTGGTGTCCCAGTCCCTCACCCTGAGTGTCACCTTCTAGAGTTTTGAAGACTGTGTGAGAGTAAGATTTTACTCTATAAACAAACAAACTTCCACAGATTTTTTTTTTTTAAATCTGAAAAGCCAGGCTCTAGAATATCTGGGCCCTGGTCCTAGGACACAGGAGACCCCGGGACTTTAGCACTGAGTGAGGGATTCTTTCTGGTCTGCTCTAAATCCCTGCTGCTGCAGTTGCTATTTCAATCCATTCCCTCTGGTTGCGCACTCAGAAGAGGGAGAACAAGAGGTCACCTCCTCAGCTGAGACTCCTTGAGGGCCGGAGGAGCATTTAGAAAGGAAAGGGGGAGGGAGAGTGGGGCCTTTTGGCCAGCTGCCTGAGTTCTAGTCTTCTGGCCTGCTTTCTAGCCCAGGGGTCCAGATGAGTACTGGATCTGGGACACAGGGTTTCAACCCAACTCCACTAGGGTGTCTCAAGCTCCCACTCCCATGCAAGAAGGCTGAGTCTGGCAGAATGGGGTGCCTTCCACTTGAGGAGACTCGGTCTGAGCCCCCAGTGAGTCCTGAGATTTGAGAGCCTAAGTGCTTTTACCTGATGATTGGTCTACACCAGCCCCAAAGCCTGGGCTGTGGACAAATCAAGGACCTCTCAGGAGACCCCTGAGTCACCCTCCAACTTCCAGCAGCTGCCTGGGGCTGGCTCCAGCCCTACCTGCCCTGCCATGTCCTCCTGCAGCTGGGAGCAGGATGGAGGTTCTGCCAACACTGGGCTCTGGGCCGTGTCCTCAGCATCGGAGGTGGGCCAAGCCAACCAGGGGTAGAAGACAAGGGGCAGCATTGAGCTCCACTCTGGGCAGGGGGCCCAGAGTCCCTGCCCAGGCTGAGGGCCAGCTGAGCCCAGAAATAACTGAGCCAGGACCCCCGTCTCTTGCTGCAGCAAGGGGTGGGGTACCCAGAGGGGAGGCCTTGAGGCAAAGGTGTAAAACAATGCCTGAAGTCCTCACTCTGAAACCACCCTATGCCCAAGGACTCATCACTGCCCCCTCTGGCCTTTGTGACCCCATCTGCAGAATGGGGACATCATCTCCACTTTCCTCCCCCAGGGCTGGTAAGAGAACTGAGATCCAAGAAAGAAAGAACAAACTCACTACAGATGTCAAGGATGAAAAACAGCTATAGTCCACTCTTTCCACCATGACATTTTACAAATAGGGAAACTGAGGCACAGAACTAGGAAAGGCTTTTCCTGGGGTCAGCCAGTGAGTAGCTGCCTTTAGAACCCAGGAGTAGCCTCCCTCTGCAGCTGGATGAGTTGGAGGTACAGGATGAGCTACCAGGCTCCCAGGCCCCATGCCAAACCCTCCCACAAGATCAAAGACCCAAATCCTCAACCAGGAGACTCTGCCTAAAGCAGTGGCCCTGTTCCTCTTAGCCTTGGTGGCAAGAACAGGATGGGGAGGCATGCAGCTGGGCCACTGGGCACCAATCCCAATGAGACACCTGCAGATGAAAAGCTGGTGGTGCCCAAGTTCCTCCACAACCTTTTAAGGCCTGAGCCAGGCTGCTCACCAGGCAGGGGCTCCCACCACCCACTACCCTTGGAATGACCTTGGGCTCTCAGCCTCTTTTACGGCACCAGCTGAGATGGAGACAACAGTGATGGTAGAACCCTGGCTCAGCCAGGGCTGAGCACCAAACCAGGCACTTTCTGGGTCTCAGCCACTCTGAAACAGCCCCTGTCCCCCTCCCCACTCTCCCTATGGCAGCTGGAGTGAGCTGTGAAAACACGCATTACATCACACCCCTCCCTCATTCATAACTCTCCAACAGCTCCCATTGCCCTTAGAATAGAATCCAGTCTCCCCATCACGGCCTAAAAAGGCTCTGCCTAAGCTGGTTCTCTGCTCCCTCCCATCCTCCACCTCATCAGCCACACTGGCCTTCTTTCTGCTACCCGAGCTCATTCCTACCTCAGGGCCTTTGCACCAGCTGTACCCTTGGCCTAAAATGCTCTTCCCCCAGATCCTTAAATGACTGCCTCCTCTGTCATTCAGGTCTCAATCCCATGCTGCCCCCTCAGAAGGCTCTCTCTGACTACCCAGCACTCTCCATCACACTCCCCCATGTAGGCATCACAGCACTTAACAGAACTGAAGCCCCCTTTTTCCATTTATTTTTTTGTTTACTTATTTACTGCCCATCTCCCCACTAGGATGTAAGTTCATTGAGGGTGTGGACTATGCCTGTCACGTTCACTGCTGTCTTCCCAGCACCTAGCACAGTGCCTAACACACAGTGGGCACTTTTTAAATATTTGTTGAATGAATGACCTAGGGATTATCATCATCCTCGCTGTACCAGTTAGGAGGCAGAGAGGTTGAGGAATATGTTCAGGGTCACATAGCTGGAAAGCGGCAAGGCTGGGATTCTGCTTGGAACAATGCTGGACCATCTTAGGGATAATCTCTTACAGTCCCTTCCATGCTGGGTCCAAGCCCAAGGACAGGGCTGGGGTGGGAGCCCAGCAGGGCAGGCAACAGGGGCCAGCATGCTCTGTAAGACAGAGGGCAGAGTGCATGGGTGCAGGACCTGTGTGCATGTCTGTGAGCAAGGACGCAGTGCAGGCACTTGTGGGCACACACATCACATTCAGACACTCACAAACACACACTCCTGAGGCAGCCCCTGTGGAAGACGAGAGGGGGTGAGGAGCCTGCAGGCTGAGAGGCAGGGATAAAGGCAGTTAGATCTGCACCAGGAGGTAACTGAGGTCAGAACCCTCCTGCTTCGGGAGAAGCTGGGGGTAGGGAAGGGATGACCCCAAGCTTCAGACTGGGGTGAGGGTGGGAAAGACAAGCACCCACATTGACCACAGCCATACACAGTGACATCGGGGGGCTGGTGTGGTGGGAGGAGATGGGAAGTATGGGCCCACCCGGTGGAAATGGGGGCACAGGAGGCAGATCCGGGTGGGGGCTCAAGGTGCTGAGCACTCTCCAGGATAAGCAGAATTGGAGAGCTCATGAGATGTCCAAGGAGGTGCTGGGACCAGAGAAATATGTTCTAGAATGTCCGTGTGGAGGCGAGGCAGGGGCCATAGCTGTCCCAGGAAACAGGACTGGGAGCCGGGACACTCAGGGTTTG